TTTAGTCGAGCCTCTGCGAAAATACCGAATTTTTTTTTTGAGCTGTGAGGTGTACAAGTGATTTACTTTTTTTTGTTTATTATTTCTGTTGGTGTGGTTTTAGTAATTATAAATTTGTAAGTATTTAGTAATTGTGTTGTTTTATATGTAATTAGTTAAAATAAAATGGAGGAAGATCCTCCCGATCCCGACGGGGTTCCACGTGACTCCCATACTGTTACCAAAAAAAAAATATGCCTATCGAAATTGATCAGTCGAAGCCTAAAAGATTGCAAGCAACCAATAACTCAGTTCATCCTCAGAAAATATTAATTACACATCCATCACAAACCGTACCATCTATTCAGACCTTTTATACCCATCCTGACTACATAGAAGAAAAACATAAATATTCTAATGACGACAATGCGCCCTTTATTGTACATGTCAGTAAGAGAGTAGATGATTTATCTACTGGAGTAGTTTTAAAACCGATAAAGTTTGGTCATTTTCTCTACCATAATAATATTAAAAATGTTGTTAGTGATGGTGTTAAGTGAGTAGGACGCAATAGAATTTCAGTTGAATTTAAAAATGTAGCTGATGCAAGTTGTTTTATTGAGAACCCAGGAACTCATTTCATCAATCGAGGTCCCAGCTGGTTTTGGCTCAATTATTAACCTCGCCGATTTAATAGAAAGTCAGTTAATGACAACGAAAGCACTGTGTGAAGTCCCTCTCAACAGTTGTTTCAACTTTTTCCGACCAGAAACTTCCTTCTAACATTTATTTTTTTCACCTCAATGCCTGTTGAGCCCTACATTTTACCTCTTATTCAATGTCACAAATGTTGTCGTTTTGGACATGTAACCTCACAGTGTAGGTCATCTTCCCGTTGTTTTGTGTGTGCTCAAAATCATGAAGGAATATCATGCACAAGACAGTCTCCCACTTGCTTATTTTGTTCAGGATCTCACACGGCTAAAGATCTTCCTGTCCTGAAAATCCTTCCTTCGTATGATCATCAGAGTCCCTATCCTATCTCAAATTCCCCTTTACCTTCAGTTGTCCCCTCACTATCTCATTCTTACAGGAAGACTACATTCACTCCAAGACTTCCGCCCAATCCAGTATCAAGTCATGGATATGATAAATCTGCCCATGAGGCAATAATAGATACCCCTCCTTCCATCAACTACTAATGGTTGTGCTTTAATAGGGCGGAGTATTTCCCCTAATGACAATCTCTGTGAATTAATGATCTCCATGCTTATAAGTATGCTTTCCCATTTCAGCGATATGGATCTCCCACTTGCCCTCCGCCAAAAACTTACTGAGCTCATTTAATTAACAAATAACCTTCCCTCCAATACTTCAGTGGAACTGCCGGAGCATTAAGAATAAGAAGAATGAATTAATTTACCTTATTAATAAATACCATCCCCTCATCCTAGCCATCCAAGAGACATGGCTTAAGCCTGGGTCCCATTTTAGGATCTCAGGTTATTCATGCCTCAGGGATGATAGTCATGCTGGCTTTCATTCTTATCTCAAAATCAATTACTTATATATTAATTTCCCTTCCTTCTCATAGTCCTTCAATTAATGCTGTAGCAGTTAGACCTCATAACACTTCTTTTCTCTCTATTTATATTCCCGAACCTAGTTTAAATATCTTGTAAGAACTTACGAGGATTATATCCTCCATCCCTCCTCCTATGGTAATTCTTGGTGATTTTAATATGCACCATACTTTTAAGGCTCCCATTTTTGTGATCCCTGGTCTTCTACATTTTTAGACATCATTGATGATTTAGATCTCTGCCTCCTTAACGATGGTTCACCTACACGTAGAGTATGCCCCCTCCAAAATCCTAAAAGCGCATTAAATCTGTCACTGTTCTCCTGCTCTGTCGTCCCTTCTTTCTTGGAGAATATTACCCTTTTCCCATGGCATTGATCATTTCCCTATTGTTATCAATCCCCCTGGCTCCTATACAGTTAATGTTCCATTTAATCCTAGGTTAAAATATAACACATCCAAAGCAAACTGGCAAATATATTCCACAGTTCTAGAGGAAGAACTTTCAGCCCTTCCTCCTGTTCAGAAAGATAATGTTCTTCAGGTGTATTCTACTTTTAAAAACGCTATTTTATCTGCTGCCGATAAGATAATTCCCATCAAAAATCCTTATAAAAACAATGCTCCTTCACCGCCTTGGTAGGATCAAGATTTTTCTGTAGCATGTAAGAAGAGAAAGGAAGGTGAAGTAAGATATTCCCACTCTATGAATTTTGTCAACTATATATTTTATATAAAAAAAACTGCTACTGAAACATTAAAATTACTATCTGGGAAGAAAAAGGCTGGATGGCTTAAACTCTGTGAGTCATTGTCACCTAGGACTCGTCCATCACTAGTCTGGAAAAATATAAAAAAATTCCGATGTTCAGTTTTGGCCTCTGAAAACACAAATTCTAATGATCAGTCTTATTGGTTAGAAATTTTTGCTAGTAATCTTGCTTCTCCTTTAGTACTATCTTACAATGAATGTATAGCATTTCAATCACAGTCTTTGTGCACTATCAACACAGTTCTGACTCCTTTTTCTCTTATGAGGAACTATATGCTGTGTTACGGCTCTTAGTTGCCCAGACAGAAGGCGACTGTATTAGGGCCGCTTTTGCAAAACAAGTGTTTTCAAAAGGAAAGAAACGCCGGCGCTGTACAGCGGCGGATTGGCAAAAGAATATTTATTAGCGAACTTTTTTATGCATGAACGGTTTCGAACTGTTTCAAACAAAAATAAACCTTATATTACCTAGCATATTACTTCGTAGGTCTATTCGGTCATATAATAGTAATAAGACGACAGTTCAACCTCTTTAAGTAAAATTAAACAATAAGACAAACGCATTGTTTTTTTTTAACAGGAGACCTTGTTTTCCAGAAACTTGTTTACAACTTGAGTTTGTGAGCGATCGCAATGATTGCTATTACTTGTTACTTATTAGACTATTTTTCCACAACATGATTTAAAAAACCCACAAAGTAAAAAGAGTACCATGTACAAGTTAAAAAAAGGTTGTCAACGCCTAAAAATTTCAAATTTTCAAAATATCCAGAAACGAAGCTGTAGGCATAAACTACTTGCAAAATAATGAATATTTTGTTTTGGATAAATCTTCCAAAAACGCTATTTGAGGGAGTTATCGCGATTTTTTTAAAGACACGATGGTATGCACGTGGTAGAGCCATGCTGCAGCTATATTAGTAGTATAGTTGTAGCACGAATGGGTCGGCTCGACCGGGGAAGGACCACGCTCTCACAGAATACCAGCGTAAAATAGCAGCTTAACGCTGCTGTGTTTCGTATGTTGAGTGTAGAGAACCGGAGACCCTTTTTACTGGAAAAGAGGCATTCCATCTTAGTCCTCACGGGTGACAACGCATCTGCATTTTGATTCGCAAACGAGGATAAATGTAGATGTCTATGGGCCACAGCAACCACTTACCATCTTGTGGACTGTGTGCTCGTTTGTCACCCTATCCTATAAAAAAAAAGACACGACTAGCGTGTCATACGCCACGTACATTCGCTCTGAACCGGTTAATTCACTGCAAATGTAACTTAGTAATCCTATATATTTATATGGGATTACAAAGTTATTTATGCAGTTGATGTATCTCGAAAACTGGACCGAAATTGCAAAATATTTTAATTTTTCCTTGATTTATATACTAAACAATATTTGTATTCCAAATTCGAAGCTTCTATGTCTGCTAGAAGTGCCTTAGAGTTTTGATGATCGATCAGTCAGTAAGTGACAACAAAGAAACTTTGACTAGTTTTAATTCTTAAACTACTGGTACAAATTTAATAAAATTTGAAACATATCGAGATTATACAATGCCTACTTGGTTACTCAAAATTCAGGCTTCTAGTTTTATCCACAACGAAGTTATAGTATTTCGAATGGACTGAACTGCTTCGAGAAAAGGATAGTACGGCCGTGCCGCTTTTTTGCTCGACTTGGCGAGGGCGCTGCCGTGCCCCCAGATCCTGACACGCGTAGAATAAACCGATTTGGTCTAGGACAAACTGGTCCGTCCTGAAATCGAGTTTTGCCGGTAACATATACACGATGTCTAATCACCTACTTCTAAAGGTATTCTCTAGAAATAATCTAACTCATTTTAGTTCTTGGAATTATTTTAGTTATTTTTCCATAATATGTATTATAATCATTTTTCATTTGGTATTAGAAACAAAATAAAGAGCAGAAGAAAAGAAAATTTTGTATACATTTGGTTTATTATAACAAAAATATGAAACCTATAAAAATAATTATAAAGATTAAATAATTATTAAGAATATTATAAAGAGTCCATGGCACACTTAAACCAAGATCTGCTTTAATTCACACTATAGTTATAATAATACAATTAAAACAGACTAAATATCATTTCCTATTTTGCAAAAAAAAAAATGTGTCGTACTGAGGTTTCTAAAATAGATTATTAACATTAAAGAAATAGACAACATAGAGAGTATAGCCAAGCCCAATTATGGCAGCCGTGCTAATGCGTTCAATGGTCATGATCAAAGATTTTTATGCATACTTCTAGATGGGCACTACGGTAGTAATACATTGCATATTAAGGTAACATCAACAGCTGTGATATTAGTTGATGAGATGACATTAGTATTGTATATCTCTTTCCTATGATTTGATTATAAAGTACCAAGTATTTCCTTTTACAACTGTTACTCAGACGTCTTTAACGACACCCACGCCACAACACAAAATGCGGTGATGGCCCTCTTACACGGCATAAATATTCATTAAATAATATTAAATGATGTAAAATATTGGTACCTAAAACCATTGATTTTTATTTTTTAAAAACTAAATCACAGCACGTACCTTTTAAATCTGTTTCCATTAAATTAAAAAATATATCACTTTTAGTCACTTTCAATATTTTTTCTGCAATTTCGTTTTTTGCAGTATTATTCTTATTGCGTGAGTCCAGATCCCGATAAAACTAAATGCTGCGATGTACGAATATGTTTCTTAATAGATTTGCAAGCGAAGTAAACTTCACACGTATTGCAGTAGCACTTCTTTTTCATTTCACATTCTTTTATTTCTATGTTATTTACCTCTAATTGTTTTAATTTGTTTTTATGTTGCAAACCATCGTTATGCATGTTAATGTTTGTGGCATTGTTGGTTAATTGAACATCACAAATTTCACACAAATGACTAGTTATTTCATTTTTTTTCTTTTGATTGCTAATATGATGTGCGGTTAAAACGTGTTCACATATTTTTTCCTTTATTATAGCAATATTACAGACTTTACAAATGCTATCCGGCGGCGTCTTCGCAAGGGCCGTTACGTGATTTTGGTTTTTAACGTGATTGAAAAGAACTTCTTTCCTCATATACTTCTGACACACTGAACAATTAAAGCGGTCATTTTTTAATAGTATTTTGTTTTTTGACAACATTTCTTGCAATTTTTCGACATGCTTTCGTCCTTCTATATGCATTTTCAATATAGAAGCACTGTTAAGGACTTTCACATTACAAACTTGGCAGTTAACCTCACCCAGTTTATCAGTAAGTTTCATTTCGAAATAATTCTTTGGTTGTATTTTTTCTGAACTGCTTTGAGGAACTTTTAAGGCTTGTCCCTTGATTATAGTACTATCTGTATTTGACTCGGTATCCGTATGATCTTTGTTTTCTGCAAAGGCATTTGCGATATCGTTAGTAAATGTTCTAAACATATTCACTGCATGGGATCGCTTATTTATGTGATCAAATTGGTCTCCTACATTGACAGCTTCACGGCAGCCGTCACAAAAATACATATTTCCTGTCAGCTTCAACCGGTTTTGTACCAGTAGCATTCTAGCATTATTGTTTTTGTGTTAAACCACTTCGAAAGTCATAATAAATCATCGCTCTTGAATTTTCTCGAGTCAATTCCATTTTCTCAACGACTAAACAATTTGACAAAACCTTGTGACAAGACCGAGAATCTTTTTTTAAATAAATAAATGGTATTCGATTTTTAAAACCAGAGTTTTCAAATAAAAAGATTTTAATATGACAGGAACAGTGGAAATATTCCATTCCCGACACTTTTAGTGCAGCCTATGTATAAGTGCAATATGGTTAAATGAAGTCATTTTAAGAACACAAAATTCCTTGACCTTGACGTGTCGAGAGTAAAGCCAACCATGCATAGAATGTTTTAAAGTACATATAGAAAAAATTGTATGAAACCTTTAACAATGAGTAAGAATTTAAGACAATAAAACAGTTAAGACCAATTACGAAAACACACCAATATGTTGACCACATCAACGTAAAACAAAAATTATTTTCATTTACTCAGATCTGCCTAGGCCAAACTAGTTAAGCCTATAAAGTATTTAGGCCAAACTAGATTTCCCTGGGCTAAACTAGTACATGCCATCAAAACATAACTTGTAAAAAAAAACAAGTCTCGCAACTCAGTTCTTCTACCGTAAAAAGTTGTGAGATCCATGTAATATCAAGTCGGTTAATTTATTCAGTCCCTACTTAAGGGTCCTTTTGTCTTAAGTTATTACGTAATTAGCTAACCTAACAACATCTTATAGTGACCACATCAATACTAAAAATCTCTTATATTTTAAATAAATAGATTGACTTGGCCATCGCATGAAAACGCAATGTATCTCTCAAGTAATACATATTATATTAAATTAGATTGTTTAGTGAAAATATTTCGTTCTGGACAAATCTTCCAAAAACGCAATTTGAGCGAGTTATCGCGATTTTAAAAAAAGACACGACTAGCGTGTCATACGCCACGCACAAAAATAATCGATAGGACGCCTGGCGTGCCATCCGCACCGAACTGGTTAATTCACTGCAAATGTAACTTTGTAATCCTATATATTTATATGGGATTACAAAGTTATTTATGCAGTTGATGTATCTCGAAAACTGGACCGAAATTGCAAAATATTTTAATTTTTCCTTGATTTATATACTAAACAATATTTGTATTCCAAATTTGAAGCTTCTATGTCTGCTAGAAGTGCGTTAGAGTTTTGATGATCGATCAGTCAGTGAGTGACAAAATTAAGAAACTTGACTAGTTTTAATTCTTAAACTACTGGTACAAATTTAATAAAATTTGAAAGATATCGAGATTATACAATGCCTACTTGGTTACTCAAAATTCAGACTTCTAGTTTTATCCACAACGAAGTTATAGGGTTTCGAAAATGGACTGAACTGCTTCGAGAAAAGGATGGTACGGCCGTGCCGCTTTTTTGCTCGACTTGGCGAGGGCGCTGCCGTGCCCCCAGATCCTGACACGCGTAGGATAAACCGATTTGGTCTAGGACAAACTGGTCCGTCCTGAAATCGAGTTTTGCCGGTAACATATACACAAAGTCTAATCACCTACTTCTAAAGGTATTCTCTAGAAATAATCTAACTCATTTTAGTTCATGGAATTATTTTAGTTATTTTTCCATAATATGTATTATAATAATTTTTCATTTGGTATTAGAAACAAAATAAAGAGCAGAAGAAAAGAAAGTTTTGTATACATTTATTACGGTCACGGTTTATTATAACAAAAATATGAAACCTATAAAAATAATTATATTTCTTTTATAGGTTTCATATTTTTTTGATTAAATAATTATTAAGAATATTATAAAGAGTCCATGGCACACTTAAACCAAGATCTGCTTTAATTCACACTATAGTTATAATAATACAATTAAAACAGACTAAATATCATTTCCTGTTTTGCAAAAAAAAATGTGTGGTACTGAGGTTTCTAAAATAGATTATTAACATTAAAGAAATAGACAACATAGAGAGTATAGCCAAGCCCAATTATGGCAGCCAAGCTAATGCGTTCAATGGTTATGATCAAAGATTTTTATGCATACTTCTAGATGGGCACTACGGTAGTAATACATTGCATATTAAGGTAACATCAACAGCTGTGATATTAATTGATGAGATGACATTAGTATTGTATATCTCTTTCCTATGATTTGATTATAAAGTACCAAGTATTTCCTTTTACAACTGTTACTCAGACGTCTTTAACGACACCCACGCCACAACACAAAATGCGGTGATGGCCCTCTTACACCGCATAAATATTCATTAAATAATATTTTTATTTTTTTAAAACTAAATCACAGCCATTCTTTTCTCTTTGCTTGTTATGGCACGTACCTTTTAAATCTGTTTCCATTAAATTAAAAAACATATCACTTTTAGTCACTTTCAATATTTATTCTGCAATTTCGTTTTTTGCAGTATTATTCTTATTGCGTGAGTCCAGATCCCGATAAAACTAAATGCTGCGATGTACGAATATGTTTCTTAATAGATTTGCAAGCGAAGTAAACTTCACACGTATTGCAGTAGCACTTCTTTTTCATTTCACATTCTTTTATTTCTATGTTATTTACCTCTAATTGTTTTAATTTGTTTTTATGTTGCAAACCATCGTTATGCATGTTAATGTTTGTGGCATTGTTGGTTAATTGAACATCACAAATTTCACACAAATGACTAGTTATTTCATTTTTTTTCTTTTGATTGCTAATATGATGTGCGGTTAAAACGTGTTCACATATTTTTTCCTTTATTATAGCAATATTACAGACTTTACAAATGCTATCCGGCGGCGTCTTCGCAAGGGCCGTTACGTGATTTTGGTTTTTAACGTGATTGAAAAGAACTTCTTTCCTCATATACTTCTGACACACTGAACAATTAAAGCGGTCATTTTTTAATAGTATTTTGTTTTTTGACAACATTTCTTGCAATTTTTCGACATGCTTTCGTCCTTCTATATGCATTTTCAATATAGAAGCACTGTTAAGGACTTTCACATTACAAACTTGGCAGTTAACCTCACCCAGTTTATCAGTAAGTTTCATTTCGAAATAATTCTTTGGTTGTATTTTTTCTGAACTGCTTTGAGGAACTTTTAAGGCTTGTCCCTTGATTATAGTACTATCTGTATTTGACTCGGTATCCGTATGATCTTTGTTTTCTGCAAAGGCATTTGCGATATCGTTAGTAAATGTTCTAAACATATTCACTGCATGGGATCGCTTATTTATGTGATCAAATTGGTCTCCTACATTGACAGATTCACGGCAGCCGTCACAAAAATACATATTTCCTGTCAGCTTCAACCGGTTTTGTACCAGTAGCATTCTAGCATTATTGTTTAGACATAGACATAGACATAGACATGCATTTATTCAGCAACATACACTCATACAGTTTTGATACAGAAAATAAAATAAGACATAAAAACATCAAAGATAAAAGTAAATAACAAAAAACAGTCATAAAATGATCCGATTGCATGAGTGATGTGATGCTGAAAAGGGCACTGACTCAACGTAATGCTATCGCAGGATTGCGGTAGCGTTGGTTTTCAGCAATGCCCATTGAGGTTGGACTCGCCCGCGAGGATAGTATGTTCGCTTTATTTCTATTTTCGAGAAAGATGTTATCAAAATAATAAAATAAAATAATGGAAACAAAAAAGGATGTGAACTTTATTTATGCAGTAGGTATATATAAATGTGTGTTTGTGTTAAACCACTTCGAAAGTCATAATAAATCATCGCTCTTGAATTTTCTCGAGTCAATTCCATTTTCTCAACGACTAAACAAGTTTGACAAAACCTTGTGACAAGACCGAGAATCTTTTTTTAAATAAATAAATGGTATTCGATTTTTAAAACCAGAGTTTTCAAATAAAAAGATTTTAATATGACAGGAACAGTGGAAATATTCCATTCCCGACACTTTTAGTGCAGCCTATGTATAAGTGCAATATGGTTAAATGAAGTCATTTTAAGAACACAAAATTCCTTGACCTTGACGTGTCGAGAGTAAAGCCAACCATGCATAGAATGTTTTAAAGTACATATAGAAAAAATTGTATGAAACCTTTAACAATGAGTAAGAATTTAAGACAATAAAACAGTTAAGACCAATTACGAAAACACACCAATATGTTGACCACATCAACGTAAAACAAAAATTATTTTCATTTACTCAGATCTGCCTAGGCCAAACTAGTTAAGCCTATAAAGTATTTAGGCCAAACTAGATTTCCCTGGGCTAAACTAGTACATGCCATCAAAACATAACTTGTAAAAAAAAACAAGTCTCGCAACTCAGTTCTTCTACCGTAAAAAGTTGTGAGATCCATGTAATATCAAGTCGGTTAATTTATTCAGTCCCTACTTAAGGGTCCTTTTGTCTTAAGTTATTACGTAATTAGCTAACCTAACAACATCTTATAGTGACCACATCAATACTAAAAATCTCTTATATTTTAAATAAATAGATTGACTTGGCCATCGCATGAAAACGCAATGTATCTCTCAAGTAATACATATTATATTAAATTAGATTGTTTAGTGAAAATATTTCGTTCTGGACAAATCTTCCAAAAACGCAATTTGAGCGAGTTATCGCGATTTTAAAAAAAGACACGACTAGCGTGTCATACGCCACGCACAAAAATAATCGATAGGACGCCTGGCGTGCCATCCGCACCGAACTGGTTAATTCACTGCAAATGTAACTTTGTAATCCTATATATTTATATGGGATTACAAAGTTATTTATGCAGTTGATGTATCTCGAAAACTGGACCGAAATTGCAAAATATTTTAATTTTTCCTTGATTTATATACTAAACAATATTTGTATTCCAAATCTGAAGCTTCTATGTCTGCTAGAAGTGCGTTAGAGTTTTGATGATCGATCAGTCAGTGAGTGACAAAATTAAGAAACTTGACTAGTTTTAATTCTTAAACTACTGGTACAAATTTAATAAAATTTGAAAGATATCGAGATTATACAATGCCTACTTGGTTACTCAAAATTCAGACTTCTAGTTTTATCCACAACGAAGTTATAGGGTTTCGAAAATGGACTGAACTGCTTCGAGAAAAGGATGGTACGGCCGTGCCGCTTTTTTGCTCGACTTGGCGAGGGCGCTGCCGTGCCCCCAGATCCTGACACGCGTAGGATAAACCGATTTGGTCTAGGACAAACTGGTCCGTCCTGAAATCGAGTTTTGCCGGTAACATATACACGATGTCTAATCACCTACTTCTAAAGGTATTCTCTAGAAATAATCTAACTCATTTTAGTTCATGGAATTATTTTAGTTATTTTTCCATAATATGTATTATAATAATTTTTCATTTGGTATTAGAAACAAAATAAAGAGCAGAAGAAAAGAAAGTTTTGTATACATTTATTACGGTCACGGTTTATTATAACAAAAATATGAAACCTATAAAAATAATTATATTTCTTTTATAGGTTTCATATTTTTTTGATTAAATAATTATTAAGAATATTATAAAGAGTCCATGGCACACTTAAACCAAGATCTGCTTTAATTCACACTATAGTTATAATAATACAATTAAAACAGACTAAATATCATTTCCTGTTTTGCAAAAAAAAATGTGTGGTACTGAGGTTTCTAAAATAGATTATTAACATTAAAGAAATAGACAACATAGAGAGTATAGCCAAGCCCAATTATGGCAGCCAAGCTAATGCGTTCAATGGTTATGATCAAAGATTTTTATGCATACTTCTAGATGGGCACTACGGTAGTAATACATTGCATATTAAGGTAACATCAACAGCTGTGATATTAATTGATGAGATGACATTAGTATTGTATATCTCTTTCCTATGATTTGATTATAAAGTACCAAGTATTTCCTTTTACAACTGTTACTCAGACGTCTTTAACGACACCCACGCCACAACACAAAATGCGGTGATGGCCCTCTTACACCGCATAAATATTCATTAAATAATATTTTTATTTTTTAAAAACTAAATCACAGCCATTCTTTTCTCTTTGCTTGTTATGGCACGTACCTTTTAAATCTGTTTCCATTAAATTAAAAAACATATCACTTTTAGTCACTTTCAATATTTATTCTGCAATTTCGTTTTTTGCAGTATTATTCTTATTGCGTGAGTCCAGATCCCGATAAAACCAAATGCTGCGATGTACGAATATGTTCCTTAATAGATTTGCAAGCGAAGTAAACCTCACACGTATTGCAGTAGCACTTCTTTTTCATTTCACATTCTTTTATTTCTACGTTATTTACCTCTAATTGTTTTAAATTGTTTTTATGTTGCAAACCATCGTTATGCATGTTAATGTTTGTGGCATTGTTGGTTAATTGAACATCACAAATTTCACACAAATGACTAGTTATTTCATTTTTTTTCTTTTGATTGCTAATATGATGTGCGGTTAAAACGTGTTCACATATTTTTCCCTTTATTATAACAATATTACAGACTTTACAAATGCTATCCGGCGGCGTCTTCGCTAGGGCCGTTATGTGATTTTGGTTTTTAACGTGATTGAAAAGAACTTCTTTCCTCATATACTTCTGACACACTGAACAATTAAAGCGGTCATTTTTTAATAGTATTTTGTTTTTTGACAACATTTCTTGCAATTTTTCGACATGCTTTCGTCCTTCTATATGCATTTTCAATACAGAAGCTCTGTTAAGTACTTTCACATTACAAACTTGGCAGTTAACCTCACCCAGTTTATCAGTAAGTTTCATTTCGAAATAATTCTTTGGTTGTATTTTTTCTGAACAGCTTTGAGGAACTTTTAAGGCTTGTCCCTTGATTATAGTACTATCTGTATTTGACTCGGTATCCGTATGATCTTTGTTTTCTGCAAAGGCATTTACGATATCGTTAGTAAATGTTCTAAACATATTCACTGCATGGGATCGCTTATTTATGTGATCAAATTGGTCTCCTACATTGACAGATTCACGGCAGCCGTCACAAAAATACATATTTCCTGTCAGCTTCAACCGGTTTTGTACCAGTAGTATTCTAGCATTATTGTTATGATTGTACCCGTTAAGGTGTTCTTGAATGTTCTTTGCTTTATTTGGAATTATCACTAAGCATATTCTGCACTTCAACTCGTTCGGATTTAAGGTTTCTATAACATCTTCCACTGTTTCACTAGTAACGGATATCGAATTTTTATTATCTTCTCTATTAGCTGTTTCTGTCACAGAGTTTGAATTTGTATCTTTTTTGATATCTAAATTTCCGTTTCGCTTAGCAACTGGAACTTTTTTGGCACAACTTCCCGACGGCGTGTCCTTAGAAAATATCTCAGCTGGAGGATTAACACTAGCCTTTTCTTTATCATTTTTAGACAAATTCCCAAGAGTGCTTTTATCACTTTTATCGCTCTTGTTATTTCCTTGGACAGAAACACCTTCTGAGTCTAAGTAGTTAGCTAAATTATATTTATGTAATTTTCCTTTATAATGTAGAGGAATGTTATGGGCATTGTTTGGTACATTAACTTTGCAAACAATGCAAAAATGTTGTTTACTATTGTTACCTGTGGCTTTTGTACTAAGATCTCCTTTTGTGGGGTTGTCAATAATTCCACTTTTCCAATCCAAAAGCAACTTCTTATGTTTTGTGGAATCAATGTGAACCAGCTCATTTTCTATGCGTATATAAATAGTGCATGCTTTGCAAAAAACATTTTTTTCCGTCTTAATCATATTGTTTGCGGCTAATAAAGCGTTGTAACGATCAGCATGATCTGTACTCATTAAATGATCGTTATGGTGGGTACCAACGAAACAATTACAAACCTTACATTTTAAATTATCTGCTTTAATAGAATATTCTAACAGATAATGATATGTGCGTTTCTCGTTCGTTTTATGCCTAACACCACTAGTATGTGATTGAATACTATTGCTGTGAATTGTAACATAGCAGACACTGCAAAAAAATGCTTTAGATTTAGAGCTGTCAGTTTCACTAGCATCCAATTGTACAACGGCCTCGTTCCTTTCAAGCTCTGACTGCGCGTTATTTATATTACTATCGGCAGTTTTAGCAGAGCAATCTTTTGGTTCTTGTTCATCATTACTTTCAAGTACAGTAATATTTGGTGTTGTTTGCGTTTCAATTTTTATTTGGCTTGCATTTCCCTCTTCAGAAAACAAGATGGCATTTTTCAATAACGCTTTGTGTCTTTTGTCGTTAAGTGCGTGGATATCGGCATTTTCGACTAGCTCATTACATAGAATGCAATGGCTTTTTGTATTATCCAACTGTAACAAGAAAAGCTTTTATATAGGTATATCATCTTATGTTATTGAATATCACGTAGTGGTGGTGTCAGCACCATATCGTCCCGTGGGTGTTGTAAAAGGCGACAGAGGGAAACAAACCAGGAGATGGGCAGCAACGTCTTCTTAATAACAACTAAAAATATTTTTTTTTTTTATAGAATTAATTTTACAAATTTTTATTAGAATAAGGGTGAGAAACGAGCACACAGTCTTCCTGGTGGTAAGTGAATGCTGTGACCAATAAAAAAAAAATCTATCTCTATTAAGAATCAAAATGCAGACGCGTTATCACCGCTAACGACTAAGGTGGAATGCCTCATTTCCAGTAAAAAGAGCCTCCATACTCACCATACGAAACACAGCCGCTATTTTAAGTTCGTTTTCTGTGAGAGAGTGGTCCTCCATGGTCGAACTGACCTATTCGTACTACATCTACAATAAAGCTGCATGCAGCATGGCTTTTGCATTTAGACTATTGAACTTATAACACAAGAAACTTTTGTCTCAAGTTTATATGGGACTTACAACAGAAAAGAATGTACTAATGCTGTAATTTGCCTTGAATAAGTGACTACTGACACGTTGGATTTGTGTTTGTGTAGGCGATGTGCTAGCCACCTGTCTTTTTTTTCACAATTATCCATATATACTCATATTTTTTGGATATGTGAGTTCCAAGTAGTTTGCTACTTTTTGGACTCACCCTACCCCTTCGGGATTACAGGAGTGTTGCATGTATGCAAGACATAGTTGCGGGCAATATTTAGAAATTGTTGCTGTGGCCAAAATTACCTAGGTACATCATTGTACAAACAATTATGCTATCTACCAAAGGCAATCAGATCTTTCTTGTAATTGCAGGGACAACAATTACAAGAGCAACGAGAAAAGATGGGCAATAAGGGCATTAACGAATTTTTCTGCCACCAGGGCGGCGATGCTTTGGAATGAGGTGAAACATTAGACAGATTTCCTAGCGGAGCAGACAATTTGTAAGGAAAATGTAAGGGTTAATATTTCTTTCTGAAATATTAGTTATATTTTATACTAATTACTTATATTTTAAACTAAGTATTTGTATGCCCTACAAATAATTGTTCCAGGTCTAGATGTTCCTCCTTATGAAATTTTTGTATGTAAACTGCACTCACAATACAGGAGAAAATCCTAATGTGGAGGTAATGTTATTTTAAATGAATTAAATGAGGAATTAATAAAACAAATTACGGATAAACTAAAAGTAGAAACATTAAAAAAAAAGAGTCATTGTGTAACAAATAAGTTCACCTCAATCTCAACAAGTCATTAATGACAAAGTTATTTATTTATTATGTTAAAATTAACTCTTATATGGTAACCTCACCATGGAAAGAACAGCCCCTGCTCACCAACTACATGGTATGACGATCTGATAAAACACACAGTTAATCTATGGACGCAGGTGGCTCAGAACTTTGTGGCAATCTATTGGGAAGGCCTATGTTTAGCAGAGGACTTGTGACGGGCTGTGGTGATAGTGTAATAGTGAATAAATAAATAAAAAAAACTTACCTCTCTAATACATTCCTTGTCATTTATTGGCAGTACTATCTTCTCAATATGTTTTTGAGAACACATATGTTCATCTAAATTTTTAACTATTTCTGTACACAGTTTGCACTGAGCATGGCACTTTCCCATAGCCAGTACTCCATGAAAATTGTTGTGTGTCACTTTTAACTGACTGCCATCTTTTGTTTCGATAATAAGATACTCGCCATTAACATCTTTTACCTTGTGTGAAGATAAAGTTTTAGCATTTAAATTATTTATGTATTCTGTTAAATTTGTACGACCACTGACAATAGCATCTTTATTTATTTTATGAAATGTAGCTGGTTTCAAATTCCAAACTATTTCCTTGGCAATATCTTCATTGTAGACTGGCTTTTCAATATCAGGTTTGTTTGTGCCTTCATCAACTTTATCCAATTCTTCATGATTAGGCGTTTCAATTTCCGATTCAGTGTTATCTGTTTCTAATTCTTCATGTGTGTATATTTTTAAAAAATCATTTAATATTCTGTCTAATATAACAGCGTTTTTGTGAGCAGTTGATTTCATATGGAAGGATTTGTCTTTGACAGGTGTTGTTGTAACACATGTTTGACAAAAATACATTGACGGGACAGGATTTTTATCAGAGAAGTTGTGGGACACTTGCTTTTTAACTCTTTCTAATGCTACTTCTGTTATTTTTAGGAATGTCTTATGTTTAGTACTATTTATATGTTCCTTCATATATGGTAGGGGAACTTCGATATTGCAGATATTGCACAAATTTGTACTTATTTCTGCATTGACATCGGGATTTGATGAATTTTCTGAAAAAGAAGGTACATATTAACTTATTTTTCCTGTGTTAAAAAAATAATTCTTTAATATCTGTTCGTAAACTTTCATCACAATTGGATTAGCCATTAGACAGAATTTAAAAAAGAACATGTTTATAGTTTATTTTTTAACTTTATTTTAAATAACTCAAAGCTCAAACTTTTTATTGTGTTCATGTGGTTACATACATAGCAATAAAAACTGGCAATGCTATGGATATTATTAATAATCCTTTTAACCACTCCTGGTAAGCTTAAAATGCTTGTGTTAGGAATGGCTCACGACAGTAGTCGAATGGTGGATTCGAACCCACAACCTTTTCAATTCACAGTCCGTACCCTACCATTAGACTAATGTTGCTTGTATATATATCTTAATAGCTTGCAAATAGCCCCATGAGCTTAATAAAAGCCAGTTATTTCAATATTACAGACCGACACTTCAATTTTATTTATATGTATTTATATTTTATATGTAATATAATTAATTTTATTTATATGTAATTATGAATACCTGTGGGACTAACATATGTGGCCTCCGACTCTGATATATCTTGTTTATCATCTATTTCAAATTCACTTTCATCATAATATGTATCTGTGTCAGAGATGTCCTGCTTATCTTTGATTTCAAATTCTAAATAGCAATCTTCATTCCTCAATGTCAAGTTATTTTTACTCCATAAAGGCAATAAATTGTTGGGATGCTTTGGAGCAACATTCAATGTTGATAGAAGTGATAAGTCTACAGTATCTAATGGTATAACATATTTTCCATTGGTTTCAAGTAGCTCCATGGTCATGGTTCAAAATTGAATGCACATGTATCTAAAAAGGTATGATCTCAGGGTTGAATTTGTTAAACATTCACAATCTAATTAATAGTATTGTAAACTTTATTTTGCACAAATTATTTATTTTAAGGTGGTGAAAATGAACTAGCTAAAATCCTTGTAAAAATAAATTAGTGTATAACCTAGTGAGAAGCACCTCTCTCCCTTCCACAAATACATGCACAATAACGGCGACTACAAAGCCAATGAAATAAATTAAGTAACTCTACTTAGTGAGTCATCTATAAGTCTATTTTCCCTTGGCAATGTCTTGTTTAGAACAGAAACATATTTTGTATTATCAACATATTTCCTAATGTAATGATGTTGGGGGAAGTGTTTGGTTTAGATAAGTACACTGTTTTATTTAAAAATAATGTATGTACACCAACCTAGACCTAGACCTTGTAGTTGTGGTGTGAATTTGCACTAGCCCATATCATTCTGTGGGAGTTGTAAGAGGTGACAGAGGGAAACAAACCAGGAGATGGGTTGCAGTCTTCCTAATTATTATAAAAAATAATAATTTCGTATGCATTTAGTAAAAAGCTGTTATTTTGACACTACAAACAGACAATACAATTTTATTCAATTATTTTATTGTATTAATGACATAATTTATAGATGATATTTTGCAGATGATATTGCCCTGTTAGAAGAAAATCCTAAGAAACTAGAACACATGGTTAAAGACATAGCAGAAAAAAGCAGAGAAGTGGGTTTAGAAATTAATGCAGATAAAACAAAACTAATAACTAACTCAACAGAAAGAGGTCTATGGAACCAAGTTCGAATATGTGAAAGTATGTATGAAAATATGTTTACCTAGGACAAATTATATCTGCTGAAGACTCTATATCCAAGGAAATAAACAAAAGAATTGCCTGCGGTTGGAGGAAATACTGGTCCTTGAAAGAAATAATGAAGAACAAAGATCTAGGCATACATATCAAGAGAAAGGCTTTCAACACTTGTCTTCTCCCTTGCATGACATATGGCTGCGAGACATGGACATAAACGGACCAACATAGAGAAAAACTTGCTAAAACAGAAAGAGCAATGGAAAGAAGCATGTTGGAAAGCAGGCTTAATGACAGAATCCGAAATGTAGAAATAAGAAGGAAGACAAAAGTAAAAAATTTTCAACTAGTTTACGTCTTTCCATTTTGGATTAATGAAAGCAAAATAAGGAAAAAATAATACCTAGATTCTAAGACCTAAGCATTTTAAATCGTAGTAGTAATCTGTGTTTTAAACTTACCAACATAACTTACCAATGTAATTTTTTGAATGTGTTTATTTACCTAATCCCAATCTTCGCTATTGTTCACTTAGTAACGAAAGTGACTTCTTATTAATGTATTATTTAGTAGTAATATTCAGAAGCGCATTTCTTCCGGGTTGATACAAAGTACTCAGTTATAATATCCTAATTCTTAGGAAACAAAACGTGCCTAGATGAGAATAAGACAATATAATTCGGGGGGTAGGTAGGTACTCCCCTATCATAGATAAATATATATGTAGCAAGCTACAGATACGACAGTGACTTTTACAAGTTTCGCAACTATGCCTTTTGGCGCTGCAGTCGCCCATTTTGACAGATGAGTGATAAAATAAAAAAAATATATAGCTTAGGGATTGCAAGCACACATCCTTCAAATCATCGATACCGATATTTAGCGATGTTCTTATTTTATCGATATCAACGTAACGACGCATTATATAGTTATATTAAAATATTACTTAATGAAACAATTTTGGTACATAAACATTTATTTTTTATTCAAGCTCACCAATATCATATACATACACACGTAATCTTAGGATTAAATTAAAAGTACATTGGGTTATATTAAAAATGTACATAACATTGTATATAGGCAGAATTTGACGAAAACAGAGCAATATTTATTGTTCATTAGATAAAGCAAATAGCAAATTAAAGAAATTAAACCACAGGAATCATATTTAATCATAGTGTAAGTAATATTTTACTTTACAAGTTACTTTTTATATTAATTTTAAAACAGCTACAATTCAAATGGTTATGAATTAAGTGAGTACCTTCCCTGTATAAGATAAAGAACTTTTCGCTAGGCTATGCCAAATTATTATTTGGTCTATATAACATTTGTTTGTTAGGCAAGACAAACATTTTTTCTAAGTTTGTAGTGTTTGGAGCTTTGTTTCATTAGTAGATATCCTATTAATTTTTCATTTAGGGTAACCCTGGCCATTTTTTAAATTGTTTTAATTATATTAATAATAAAGTTATTTGTTTAACATTCAACTTCTCTATATTTTGACAGAGATGGGACATTAAGCAAGCTTTTGCCTAAATATTCAGTTACAATCTTTGTCAAAATTTCAATATTTTATTATTGCCAATTTTATATACCAATTGTGCCCGTGTAACCTTATTAAAATATTGATGAAAGTTTTTTTACAATTAAGGCATGCTTATTATATCCTAGCCAGGAAAAACTCAAAGTGCTCAATATTTTACTTTTAACATTACTTCTGATACAGCTATAATTCAAATACTTATGAATAAAGTGAGTATCATCCCTGTACAAGTTAAGTAATTTTTCGTTAGGGTATGCCAAATTATTATTTTTCAACAATTTATGCTCTAGATTTTATGTAAAAGTGAATATTTGTCTCTGTACTGCTGTTTTGATGCAATCCTTACAAGGAATACCTTTCGATATTTTCCGACAAATGTATCCAGCAGTATAAGCTGAGCAGTGGTATTCAATTTTTTCCATGACTACATCACCCACAAGCAATTTTTCTCTTGAAGTTGCTTGTGAAGAGGACAGGAGAGCTAGCAAAACATTAGGAGTGTTTTCAGAGTAATTTTCTTTATTATTATGAACATTTTTGAAAAGACCGCTAACATTTAATAATGTGTCTCCATAATCCTCTTCGCAATTAGAGAATTTCAAATGTGGACTAACCATGTTAGATAATATCAGATATTTAAAGGTATATATAAATATGTTTGCATCTAGGTCAACATTTCTATAATCTATAACTATTATACATTCAAAAATAAATTTCTAAAGGGTCTTGGCTAATATTTTTGTGATAATAATATTCTACATTATACTGTTCAAATAATAATTATCAACAAGTTTACAGTAACAAGTTATCCTTCCTTGTTGGGATGGCCCTCGCACAAGTCGACGTTTTCCTACTTGGATAGCATGTTTGCTACTATATAACATGGTGTCTACAAAAATCATTTTTTTTAATTTTATTAATGGCTTCAATCCAAAAAGTGTGATGTTGTAAATTTTGTTTAACCATTTGTCTTAACTTTCCTCTTTGCACACCAACCGGGTAGCCATTGACATTGTCAGTGTGTCGAAAAATTCAACAACTTCTGCTGTTGAGGCCATTGTTGCGTCAGAGTTTGCATAATGAAAATAATCTGAAAAAAAAATATATTTTTAATTTAATTACTTTTACAGCTATTGCACCTGCAAGTATTTCACCAAAAGACATTTCCTATTTGCTTACAACAGACTTTGTTAACCTTTATACAATTGTAGTGTGGCTCACGGTATCCACTATGTAATATCAATTATAAAGAACAATGGCGAAATAATATGTCAAATATTTTGAAGCGTCTTGAGATATTATTTTTAAAAGACGTAATAAAAAAAATTATTGCATTTTGTCAACTAAACATCAAAACTAGTAAAAGCCAGAATAAAAATCACTTCCTTTTTGGAAACATAATTGATTGAAATCAAATGGATATCCTTTCCGTCACTTAGTGTGACCAGTTTATAATTACTTCAGTGTCGTAGTTAAAAATCATTTTCAATTCATCTTGTTGCATCTGGTTTAAGATAAAATAATATTATCATTATTGCGTTTTATATCATTGGAACAAAAGTTACATAAGAATATTTAAAAAATATGTAGTATTTTATTATATACTTCTGGAATTCAGATTGTTTAGTAAGAAACAATATAAATGCTATAGCAACACAATATGACAATGTCGTAATGACATTTTCGTTACGTCTTACACACACTGCTTTCGCGCCGTTTGTGCTGTCTGTGTTTTGTGTTTTTGGTTCTGCCTTTTGATTTCCTTATTTTTATTCGACCTGGACTGCCCCTGGACTTATCTGATATTGATTTTCTATTGTGTGAATATTATATTGCGTGCCCAAAGGACTTCGATTCTGCTACACCCGACGACATTGTGCTATTCTCATCTGGACTCCGATTTGTGCCCTAAGATTTTGGTCTAGTTGTCACAGTAATTCTTAATTCAGACACGATGAGCGATCGTGACAGAGTTACTCGCATTATGTGTATCAACTGCAACATATGCGTTAATACACTGCGTCGATACCGTGCTTTGGAACTTAACATAAGAGTTACCACGTTACTCTGTAGCTGGGTGTATCCACAAATCGTAAGTGTTTATTTATTCTAAGTAACCATATCTATTCGTATTTATCCAAATAATAAATCTATTACAAGTATGTCCAACTGATTCTTTAATGATCACATTAATTAGTAATTATTAGTTAATTGTTGTAGAAATAGTATTTGCACCCATTATACATAATTTTATTTGAATTGAATAACATCTTAACTCAACATTTAACCTCTCATCTGTTGGCATTACCAAACACTATAGATTACAATCGATTTTTAACATAGATCTATGTACGGATGACACAATCCTAATAATAAGTACTTTTATTTTTCAGATTACCGAAGATGACTATGTCTGTGAAGCATGTAGAGATCTTGCAATGATAAGTGTAAATCATAGCTTACAAGAAATATCTGGCATTGATGACCAACAACCTGGACCAAGTCACCGAGGCCATGCTAGTGTATGCGTTTTATGTGGGTGCTCTATTCTGCAAAGGCAAAGTGACAGAATATTGAGAGATAACCCTACGGACTTGCATCAGTTGATGTATACCCTTATT